GAAAATAGAAATAATACCATGCATACTATCTGACCACAATGCAGTAAAAGTAGAACTCAACAACAAAAGTAAAGACAAAAAACATGCAAACAGCTGGAAACTAAATAACTCATTACTTAATGAAGAATGGATCATCGATGCAATAAAAGAGGAAATTAAAAAGTTCCTGAAGTCAATGAAAATGAAAACACAACCTACCGGAACCTATGGGACACAGCTAAGGCAGTCTTGAGAGGAAAGTTTATAGCCATGAGTGCATATATTAAAAAGATTGAAAGATCCCAAATCAATGACCTAATGATACATCTCAAACTCCTAGAAAAACAAGAACAAGCAAATCCCAAAACAAATAGAAGGAGAGAAATAATAAAAATAAGAGCTGAAATCAACGAAATAGAAACCAAAAAAACCATACAAAGAATTAATGAAACAAAAAGTTGGTTCTTTGAAAAAATAAACAAGATCGATAGACCCCTGGCAAACCTGACTAAAATGAGGAGAGAAAAAACCCAAATTAGTAGAATCAGGAATGCAAAAGGGGAGATAACAACAAACACCATGGAAGTCCAGGAAATCATCAGAGACTACTTTGAGAACCTATATTCAAATAAATTTGAAAATCTAAAAGAAATGGACAGATTTCTAGATACATATGATCATCCAAAACTGAACCAAGAGGAAATTAATCACCTGAATAGACCTATAACACAAAATGAAATTGAAGCAGCAATCAAGAGTCTCCCCAAAAAGAAAAGTCCAGGACCTGATGGATTCTCTGCTGAATTCTATCAGACCTTTAAAGAAGAACTGATACCAACCCTCCTTAAACTGTTCCATGAAATAGAAAGGGAAGGAAAACTGCCAAACACATTTTATGAAGCCAGTATTACACTTATCCCAAAACCAGGCAAAGACACCTCCAAAAAGGAGAACTATAGGCCAATCTCCTTAATGAACATTGATGCAAAAATCCTCAACAAAATAATGGCAAACGAATTCAGCAACACATCAAAAAGATTATTCACCACGACCAGTAGGCTTCATCCCAGGGATGCAGGGGTGGTTCAACATACGAAAATCAATAAACGTAATAAACCACATTAACAGAAGCAAAGACAAAAACCACTTGATCATCTCAATAGATGCAGAAAAAGCCTTTGATAAGATCCAACATCATTTCATGATAAAAGCTCTAAGAAAACTAGGAATAGAAGGAAAGTTCCTCAACATTATAAAAGCTATATATGACAAACCTACAGCCAGCATTATACTTAACGGAGAAAAATTAAAACCATTCCCTCTAAAATCAGGAACCAGACAAGGATGCCCACTATCTCCACTCCTATTCAACATAGTACTGGAATTCCTAGCCAGAGCAATTAGGCAAGAAGAAGGAATAAAAGGAATACAAATAGGTAAAGAAACTGTCAAAATATCCCTATTTGCAGACGACATGATCCTATACCTTAAAGACCCAAAAAACTCTACTCAGAAGCTTCTAGACATCATCAATAGCTATAGCAAGGTAGCAGGATATAAAATCAACATAGAAAAATCATTAGCATTTCTATACACTAACAATGAGCAAACGGAAAAAGAATGTATGAAAACAATTCCATTTACAATAGCCTCAAAAAAAATCAAATACCTAGGTGTAAACCTAACAAAAGATGTGAAAGACCTCTACAAGGAAAACTATACACTTCTGAAGAAAGAGATTGAGGAAGACTATAGAAAGTGGAGAGATCTCCCATGCTCATGGATTGGTAGAATCAACATAGTAAAAATGTCGATACTCCCAAAGTAATCTACATGTTTAATGCAATTCCCATCAAAATTCCAATGACATTCATTAAAGAGATTGAAAAATCTACTGTTAAATTTATATGGAAACACAAGAGGCCACGAATAGCCAAGGCAATACTCAGTCAAAAGAACAATGCAGGAGGTATCACAATACCTGACTTCAAACTATATTACAAAGCAATAACAATAAAAACAGCATGGTACTGGCACAAAAACAGACATGAAGACCAGTGGAACAGAATAGAGGATCCAGATATGAAGCCACACAACTATAACAACTTATCTTTGACAAAGGAGCTAAAAATATACGATGGAGAAATAGCAGCCTCTTCAACAAAAACTGCTGGGAAAACTGGTTAGCAGTCTGCAAAAAACTGAAACTAGATCCATGTATATCACCCTATACCAAGATTAACTCAAAATGGATCAAGGATCTTAATATCAGACCCCAAACTCTTAAGTTGATACAAGAAAGAGTAGGAAATACTCTGGAGTTAGTAGGTATAGGTAAGAACTTTCTCAATGAAACCCCAGCAGCACAGCAACTAAGAGATAGCATAGATAAATGGGACCTCATAAAACTAAAAAGCTTCTGTTCATCAAAAGAAATGGTCTCTAAACTGAAGAGAACACCCACAGAGTGGGAGAAAATATTTGCCAACTATACATCAGACAAAGGACTGATAACCAGAATATACAGGGAACTTAAAAAACTAAATTCTCCCAAAACTAATGAACCAATAAAGAAATGGGCAAGTGAACTAAACAGAACTTTCTCAAAAGAAGAAATTCAAATGGCCAGAAAACACATGAAAAAATGCTCACCATCTCTAGCAATAAAGGAAATGCAAATTAAAACCACGCTAAGATTCCACCTCACCCCTGTTAGAATAGCCATCATCAGCAACACCACCAACAACAGGTGTTGGCGAGGATGCGGGGAAAAAGGAACCCTCTTACACTGTTGGTGGGAATGTAGACTAGTACAACCACTCTGGAAAAAAATTTGGAGGCTACTTAAAAAGCTGGACATCGATCTACCATTTGATCCAGCAATACCACTCTTGGGGATATACCCAAAAGACTGTTACTCCAGAGGCACCTGCACATCCATGTTTATTGCGGCACTATTCACAATAGCCAAGTTATGGAAACAGCCAAGATGCCCCACACTGACGAATGGATTAAGAAAATGTGGTATCTATACACAATGGAATTTTATGCAGCCATGAAGAAGAACGAAATGTTATCATTCGCTGGTAAATGGATGGAATTGGAGAACATCATTCTGAGTGAGGTTAGCCTGGCCAAAAGACCAAAAATCGTATGTTCTCCCTCATATGTGGACATTAGATCAAGGGCAAACACAACAAGGGGATTGGACTATGAGCACATGATAAAAGCGAGAGCACACAAGGGAGGGGTGAGGATAGGTAAGACACCTAAAAAACTAGCTAGCATTTGTTGCCCTTAATGCAGAGAAACTAAAGCAGATACCTTAAAGCAACTGAGGCCAATAGGAAAAGGGGACCAGGAACTAGAGAAAAGGTTAGATCAAAAAGAATTAACCTAGAAGGTAACACCCACGCACAGGAAATCAATGTGAGTCAATGCCCTGTATAGCTATCCTTATCTCAACCAGCAAAACCCCTTGTTCCTTCCTATTATTGCTTATACTCTCTCTACAACAAAATTAGAGATAAGGGCAAAATAGTTTCTGCTGGGTATTGAGGGGGGGAGCTGGAAAGGGGTGGAGTGGGTGGTAAGGGAGGGGGTGGGGGCAGGGGGGAGAAATGAACCAAGCCTTGTACGCACATATGAATAATAAAAGAAAAAAAAAAAAAAAAAAGACTGCATAAAAAAAAAAACAGCAGCAAGGTTGCAGTATCACAAAAACAAGTAAGTAAGGAGAGGGAAAGAGAAAGACTAATATGGGGTAAATATAATCAAAGTACATTATGTGCATATACAGATACATCACATGAAAACACTTTGTACAAATAATATACTCTAAAAAATAATAAGAAAAAGCATGCACCTAGTAGATGCTAGAATGTCAAGTGATTTTCATACCCCTAGGTATATAGATGTGGTACCTACCCTGGCTCAGGTCTTTTGCTGAGACCTCTCTCTTGTCTGTTTCTTTTCTAGCTTCAAAGGCAGGACTAACTAACTACTTCTTTGACTTTTAGAGAAGCCCACCACACATGTATTAAGTCAATGTAACCTTTCCCCACCCTTGGAGATTCCAGCTCTCTGAGTGACAGGCTTTGCTCAGGACCCTTTACTTTCTAGTCTTTGCCGCTGGATTGCTCTGATACTGTTCTCCAATGGCTTGTCCAGTTATGGGAGAAGCCTTACATTAGTTCTCTAAGTCAGGCCTTTAGTAATAAACCTCTGCTGCTAGTAGTCTTTTCACTATTATTTTTTCCCACTTAATTAAGTCCCAATTCTGAGGACATACTACACAAATAAAAATACCTCCTAAGATTCCCTTGTACCCATCGATAGTCTTTTGACTCTGTTCTGGCCAATGGCTTTTGGGAGAAGCTTCTGAGAAAATTATTGGTTTCCTGATACAAAAGGGAGAGATTGTGACAATATCTTTTTTTTTCCTCTTTGCCTTCTGCTCTTCTTCTTCCCATCAGGATCAAAGACTTGAAGCCTGGAGGTAGAGAATATATCTCTCAACTATGAGGATATAAACCATATCCAAAGGCCAGTGCAATAGGAAGAAAGAGGAAGATTTTTACTTTCTCCAGCAGCTATACCAACTTAGTTTCAGTTTTACTGTTATGAGTAAAATAAACTGCTACTTTGTTTAGACACTATAATTGGGTCTATTATAAGTGACTAAATACAAGTCTGACTGAAGAAGTCTTCACTTCATATCCTCTTCTCTTAGGCTCTAGCAGCCATTTGACCTATAAGCTGTTTAGCTTAGAAGTGGCAAAGAACTTGAAGGTACAATAAATGAAGAGGAAAGAAGTTGTGTTTAAACTGCTAAATTCCTTGAATCTTTTCTTTTTTTTTTTTTAACTCTTACTCAAGAGTCCTAAGAAGCTATGAATGGGAAGGGTTTTGGTTTGGTAGAACACACCACAATGCCACAACTTCCTTCCATGGCTCTTAATATTATAAAAGGGAAATAAGCTGGCTGATTTCTAATGCAAAGAAATAGCTCTGCAAGGTACCTTCATGTGTGTCATCCTCCAGGTCTGCCAGAGTCGGTGCATTAGGAAGTGAATACATGGAAGACTGGTTGAGTTGAGTCAGTTTGGAGATGCTGTTAATTACCATGCTGCCCAATGGAATGATGTGCTCTATGAGAATATCAAAAAGGAGAATGACATAAAATAACATCTTACTTATGATCACCACCATAAGTGTTTCTGCTTGAACAACATAAGCCCATCAATTGGTCCAATGGCTGAGGAATCTGATGGAAGGATGGACAGGAGAGGAACACTCACTGCATGTCCCAAAGCACTAGCCTTTCATTTAAAAAAAGAAAAAAGGAACTGGGGGCCAAGATGATGAACAGTTCTTACTGCATTTATTAGGGGACAGTTGAAGAAAATTTTTAAAAGTGGGTACCGAAAAAGAGCTGGGAAACCAAAGCCCATTTGAAAAGTAAATGGCTTAAAATATTTTTGTCTCTCCTTCCCTGTTTTAGCCAATATTCTCAAGAAGAAATGCACTTTCCAAAGGGGTAACAGTTTTGATCACATAGTGGACCATTTCTCTTTTTGTTATATGCCTTTGTGATGGAAAACATCCCTCCCATTATTTGTTATTTTCCCTTACTTAAAAGAGAGAACCTGGCAGCCATGTTACTTGGTTCTAGTCTTCTGTGATTAGAGTGTAAATAGGAACAGTAGGACTGCATGTTTTCCTTATCAATTATACACAAACACTTAAAATATGACTTCTAAAAAACTGCAATGGTTGAAGGCAATGAAATAGCTGGTGTTTAGACCATAGAATGTCCAGGAAGAAATGAACAGGAAGATTGTCTCAAGCAGGCCATAGGATATGAGAAATTGCTAGTTAAGCCATAAAATGAGTCCAGGGCCAAGACAAAAAGGTCCTATGTAGAGATAACTGCCCATTCCTGCCTTTCTTTGTCTCCTGCAAACAAATTTTCCAAAGCAGACCTCTCCTACTGCTCCTATCTAAAAAACCCCAGGTCTCTAACCCAGCACTGGCTCACCTATTAACAACCAACATATTCCTTGCAACCTGATGTCCTGCACTGCCCTTTAAGAATCTTGTGAATTTATTGTTGGGGGTCCAGCATTTTGAGTGTGAGCTCATCTGGGACTGCTGGTGTAAAATGAAATCTGAGTTCTCCACTTCTCTGAATGTCACTTGGTTTCTCATCTGACAATATTTCCACATTTCTGGAGGCCCCAGCGAGATAACAACCATTCTGGCCCTGTGAACCCGGCTGGCGGCTGGACTGCACTGGAGTAGGGAGGGACTCGGGACCAAATGAGGCTGTGTGCCACTGACAGTATTCTGGGTCCTCCTTCGCCCTGGAGTTCCAACCCTGAGTAGTCTTGACCGGACTGGACTCCAAGGAGAAGTGGACCAACTTGCCTGGCAATTTCATCTGGACTTGGTAAACCACCCTCCCCCACACCAGCCAGGGAAGTCAGCCTTCAGACAGATCCTGTCCCACTGGGCAGAAGGGGAGTTTGATCAGCTCCTGGGAACCTTTGAGAGGAGTTTCGCAGGTCAGGGACTTCCCCAAAAGGGAAGGAAAACTGTAATAACTTTGGTGTGAATGTGTGTGTGAATGAGTGGCCTGATTCATCCTCACTTCAGGCTCAAGTTTGTGGCTCCGCGGCTGAAAAGCTATAGAGTCCGAGTGGGTCTGTCCTGCAGTTCCATGGTGATCCTCATATAGCTTAGGGCAGCGTTTGGGAAACCCAATCTAGAGTCAGAAGGCCGACCTCACCATTGATGCTAAGAGGCACCCAAGTTCCTTCAGGATGTGGCCAGGCAGACATCTGATTGGTCTCTTCTCTTGAAAGGGCACCCACCCTTGTTTGTCTTTGTGCCACCGACGCAGGGGGAATACGTAAGGTGGATTATAGGGGACACCTCTAACTGCCATGGGTGGAAGTTCCTCAAAACCCACAGTCCTAGAGTGTATGCTTAAACATTAAGAAGGAATTCTCGGGAAATTACGGGATCAAAATGTCTCCTAGAAGGCTGCGCATGCTGTGTGAATTAGAATGGCCCACTTGAGGAATGAACTGGCCCCCCGAAGATACCCTAGATTTGCCCACTGTCAGGGCCATTTATCAGGTCATAATAGGAACCCTCGGACACCCTGATCATATCCCCTATATTGACTCCTGGCTTCAGGTGCCTCAGACCATGCCCCCTTGGGTCTGATTCTGTGGCAACAAAAAGGGACAGAGCAGAGTTTTTGTGGCCTAGGCAATGAAGCCTAAAAACCAGAAGCTGATCAAACCTGTTCTGCAAGGGTATCCAAAAGATGAACTACCTGTGCCCCCACCATACATTCCCAGCACACCCACACCATCAGAGCAGCCAGTGCCACCTTTCCTAGACAGTCTGCCACCTTCAGTGAGTCCCCCTAAGCCCTGTCAGCAGCCTCCCAGTCCTAGCAACACCCCACACCCATACTCGGCTTGGAGTCTGAGTCCACAGTCCCTGAGCCACTGCCTTCGTTCAGGCACCAGCCCCTCAGGCCAGGGCCCTGCAAATGCCACTCTGTGAGATGCAAGGGCCCCAGCAGACTGATGCTGATGGCACGGTCCAGCCTGGTCCAGCTCCATCCTCAATTACCAGCCTTTCAGTACAACTGACCCCTTAAATTGGAGGAACCACACACTGCCATATTCAGAAAACCCCCAGGCCATGGTCAACCTCCTAGAATCCATATTTCAGACCCATCAACCTACGTGGGATGACTGTCAACAGATCCTCCTGACATTTTTCAACAGAGAAGAGTGACAGCAAATTCTGACAGAAGCTCACCACTGGCTCCAAGGGCAGGCCCCAGCAGGAACCCTAGATGCAGAAGCTTGGGCAAGAGAGGAGGCCCCTGATGCGTGGCCTACCTGGAACTTCAATACAGCAGAAGAACGAGGAGTCCTTACTCAATATCACACCACCTCCTACACGAGCTCAGGGCTGGAGCTAAGAGACCTACCAACATGTCCCAAACTGTGGCAGTTATCCAGAAGCCAGAGGAAACACCAACTGATTTTTATGAGGGACTCTGTGAGGCCTTCTGGGTGTACAGGCCCTTTGATCTGGAAGCACCAGAAAGCCAGCAAATGGTCAATATAGCATTTGCGGCCCAGTCATATGCTGATATTTGCCGGAAACTTCAGAAACTTGAAGGCTTTGCTAGAATGAATGCCACCCAGCAGTTAGAAGTAGCAAAGAAAGTCTTTGTAAACTGGGAACATGAGGAAAAACAAGAAGCTGCTAAAAGGATGAAAGCCAAGGTGTCCTTATTTGCTGCAGCAGTCAGCTCTGCCCTGGAAGGGGAGACCCAGTGAAAGAACCCCACTCCAACGAGACCAATGTGCCTACTGCAAGGAGACTGGCCACTGGAAGAATGAATGCCCCTGCTGCAAGGGACCAGCATCAGAGCCTAACAAAATTACTCCAGGAAAGAAGACAGGCTGGCAACCCGTACCAGAGGCCAAGAACCTCACTAGGCCTAGTAGGAATTGAGTCAGACTAGGGAAGACCAGGCTCCTTACTACTAGACTCGAGAGCCCACGGTTGAAATGAAAGTGGGGGGCCAACTAATGATCTTCATGGTGGACTCAGGTGCTAAGCATTCTGTAGTCACTAAACCTGTAGCCCCACTCACTGAGCACAGGGAAATAGTCAGAACCACTGGCACACAAACTTTGCGGCAGTTCTGCTGACCCTGGACAGGCCAACTAGGAGGGCACTCATGAATTCTTGTATTTACCAGAATGCCCAATTCCTCTGCTGGGAAGGACTTATTAACAAAGCTCAAAAGCCCAAATCATCTTCACCCAGGGAGGGCCTACAAGCCTTATGGTGAGAGGACCAAATGCCCTCATGGTAGCAATGACCATGCCTACAAAAGAGGAATGGCAACTCTACTGCCAGGAAAAGGGGGACCTGGTGAAGCCCATCTGCCTGCTGGAAGAGTTTCCTGATGTTTGGGCTGAAAAAGGGCCTCCCAGCCTGGCTTGCAACCACATGCCTATAATGGTAGATCTCAAACCTGGGCTCTCCCTGTTAGGCAATATCCAGTGCCATGGGAAGCACGCCTAGGAATTCAGACCCACCTATAGCAGCTGAAGGATGCAGGGATATTGATTGAATGCCAATTGCCATGGAACACCTCACTGTTACCCATCAAGAAGGCAGGAGGAAATGATTACTGGCCTGTCCAGAACCTGTGGGCAGTCAACAATGCTGTTATCATGCTGTACCCAGTAGTTCCTAACCCCTACACTCTCCTGAGCCTTCTACTGACACAAGCAAGCCAGTTCACCTGCCTGGACCTAAAGGATGGTTTCTTCTGCCTTCACCTGGCCCCAGTTAGCCAGCCTCTGTTTCCCTTTGAATGAGAAGATCCCCATCTGGAAGAAAAACACAAATGGCCTGGACCAGATTGCCTCAGGGATTTAAAAACTCACCCACCTTGTTCAGGGAAGCATACTGGTGGATTTGTCAACTTTTCTGGAAGAAAATCCAAGTTGTACTTTGCTCCAATATGTGGATGATCTGCTCCTGGCAAGCCATGACTGGGAGAAATGCTGGGAGGGGACAAAGGCATTGCTAGCCCGACACTCTGAGGCAGGCTACAAAGTTTTCTGGAAAACGGCCCAAGGTTGCCAGGAAGAGGTCCGATACCTCGGATTCATCATCTCAGAAGGACAACGCACCCTGGGTCCTGAGAGGAAACAGGCTATCTGCTCCATCCCACAGCCAAAGACCAAAAGGGAGGTCTGAGAATTCTTGGGAGCAGCAATTCTGTCGCATCTGGATACCCAGACATTCAAAACCTGGCCAAACCACTCTACAAGGCCACAGCAGGCTCCGGAAAGGACCTTCTAAACTGGGGCCCAGACCAAGAAAAGGCTTTCTAGGAGGATAAGAGACTGTTAACCAACATTCCTGCACTAGGGCTGCCAGATGTAACATGACCATTCAATCTCTTTGTCTTCGAAAAAAATCACACAGCTCTGGGGTTCCTCACCCAAATGGTGGCTCCACGGCAGCAGCCAGTGGCTTACCTGTTGAAGTACCTCAGGGTGGCCTCCATGTCTCCGAGCCTTGGCTGCTATGGTAACTCTAATCAGGGAGGCTAACAAGTTCACCCTGGGACAGGACATTAATATTAAGGTCCTTCATGTAGTCATGGTCCTAATGAATGGGCAGGGTCATAAATGGCTGACCAGTTCCAGAATGGCCAATTACCAAGGACTACTATGTGAGAATCCTAGAGTCAGACTTGCAACTGTATGAACTTTAAATCCTGCCACCTTCTTGCCTACTCAGGAAGAGTGCCCAGAACATAACTGCGAAGAGGTAATGGACAGTGTGTACTCCAGCGGGCCAGACGTAATGGATGTCCCGTCTCAGATCAGAGCTTGAATTCTTCATAGATGGAAGCAGCTTTGTCTAGAGCGGACGGTAAAAGGCTGGGTTTGCAGTCACCACTGCCCTACTACAAGGATGGTCCGCACAACAAGCTGAACTTTAGGCATTGGTCCAGGCATTACGATATGCAAAGGGAAAGCAGGTGAACATCTACACAGATTCTAAGTATGCCTTTGCCACCCTGCACATGCATGGAGCTATATACAAGGAAAGAGGACTGCTGACAGCAGGGGGAAAAGAGATTAAAAACAAAGAAGAAATCCTCCAACTGCTGGAAGCAGTCTGGGAACCATCTCATGTGGCTGTTATGCACTGTAGAGACCACCAAATGGGTACGGACAATGTCAGTAGAGGAACCGCCTGGCTGACCAGGCAGCAAGGAGGGCAGCAGAAGAGCTAAGCTCCTCTGGAGTGCTGAAGCAAACTGCCAAACTTCTGTTGGCTCTGGAGCTGCCTCCCACCCTGAATTATACCAAGGAAGAAGAACAATGGGCAAAAGATGAAAAAGGAATAAAAGAAAAGGGAGGCCGGTGGAAGTTGCCTGACCAGAAACTCTTTGTCCCCAGTGCTATAGCAGCCCCTCTGGTAAAACAAGAACACGAACTAATGCACTTGGGGAAAACAGCCCTGGAAAAACTATTGGACAGATACTATTTCATTCCCAAGCTCCCCATCCTTTGCGGCCAAATAAGTGCTAGATGCATTACATGTGCACGAAACAATGAAGGTCAAGGGCCTAAGCCAAGCCCTGGGGTACAAACAACAGGCATCATGCCTTTTGAGGAGCTAGAAGTCGACTTCACAGAGGTCAAGACCTGTCAAGGATAACGAAGCCTCTTGGTTCTTGTCTGCACTTCCTCAGGTTAGGTTGAAACTTACCCCCCCACCCACAGAGAAAGCACAAGAGGTAATAGAGGCCCTTATAGAGCAAATATCCCAAGATATAGGCTCCCCCTTTCTATTGGATCAGATAGTGGACTAGCCTTTGTGGTGGAAATAGTCCAGGGCCTGGCTAAAATTTTAAAAATAAAATGGAAGCTCCATACAGCGTATAGGCCTCAGAGTTCAAGGAAAGTAGAGCGTATGAATCGGACCCTTAAAATTACCTTAGCTAAACTGCCAAGAGACACAATCCCCTGGATAGACATGCTACCATTGGCCCTGCTCAGGGCACTCTGTACCCTAGACCCTCTGTCTACTCACCCTTTGAGATTCTCTATGGCAAACCCCCTCCCATAATAAACAGGCTCAGGGAAAAGCTGCAGATATAGAAAGGTCATCCAGAGGTGATTACCTAGGTGGCTATGAGCCTATAAAAGACATTGATCTGTGACCATCATGACTCCCCCATTATGGCTTCCTTCTGGGACAGGGAATTTTAACTTGGAACCCCCAACTGTACAACCTGCTAAATGCAAGTAACCACCTCCTTAATCTTATGAACCCACCATTGGCAGGTGATTGTTGGCTCTGCCTGTCCTCAGGTCCCCTCCATTATGTAGCAACCCCAGTGAGCCCCCACAACCAGAGCATGAATGATGCTACTCCCAACTCTACCAGCATGAAACCCAAAGTAAACAACATACAGCTGTCTCAGACAGCCCCTAATTGTATCTACAATTCAAGAGGATACTATCCAGTGGGGGAACTGCTGCTAGCCAATGAGCCTAAATCCAAAACTTTACAGTCACTGCCATTAGATATACAGTTGACAGACCATAGTGTAGCAGCCCAGGAAGCTTCTTTGTATGCAGGACCCTTGCTTATCAGGGCTTGCCAGCTAACTGGAAGGGCATTTGCACATTAGCACTCCTCACTCCCCAGATAAACATAGTGCCTAAGAACCAGACCCTCCCCATACCTTCGGGGCCCACACATGGTCAGAGAGAGCTATCCAATTCTTACGTTTACTAACAAGTGGAATAGGAACAGGCGTAGGAGGAATTGCCTCGTCAGTCTCCTGTTATAATCAATTATCTGTGGATCTAATAAATGACATAGAATGAGTGGCTAGGTCCACAGTGACCATGCAGGACCAGCTGGACTCCCTAGCATCAGTGGTCCTCCAAAATCGGAGAGGGTTGCATTTACTCACTGCCAAATGAGTAAATTGGGGGGGGGGGGAGGGCTCTGCCTTTTCCTAAATGAAGAATGTTGTTTTTAATGTGAATCAGTCGGGAACAGTCAGAGACATGGCTCAGCAATTACAGGACTGGGTCACATGTAGGAGATAGGAATCAGCAAATTCCTGGAACAGATGGAACAGCATCTGGAATTGGGCCTCATGGCTACTCTCCTTGTCTGGTCCTCTTTTCATGCTTCTGTTGGCCCTAGTATTTGGCCCTTGCATTCTCAACGCCATAACTCACTTCATTAGCTCACGAATGGAGGCAATAAAGTTACAGTTCTTGGTAACCCAAAACAGGCCTTTGGGACAGGAGGAACATAATGGAATCCCTGAAATTTAGGGTCAATGCTTATCCTCAAGTAGGAAAAGCAGTGAAAAGGGAGAATGAATAGGAAGATTGTCTCAAGCAGGCTGTAGGACATGAGAAATTACTAGTTAACCATAAAATGAGTCCAGGGCCAAGACAAAAAGGCCCCATGTGGAGGTAACTGCCCATTCCTGCCTTCCTTTGTCTCCTTCTGTAAACAAACTTTCCAAAGCAGACCTAAACAACCCCAGGTCTCTAACCCAGCACTGGCTCACCTATTAACAACTAACACATTCCTTGCAACCTGATGTCCTGCACTGCCCTTTAAGAATCCTGTGAATTTATTGTTGGGGGCCCAGAATTTTGAGTGTGAGCTCATCTGGGACCACTGGCATAAAATAAAATCTGAGCTCTCCACTTCTCTGAATGTTACTTGGTTTCTCATCTGACAATATTTCCAGAACAGAAAGACAGCTAAAGAACACATCAGAAGTTTTTTTGTTGCCTTTTCTGTCACTGACTTAAGCTATCATGTACAGAATAGGTATGATAATGGGAATAAAAAATATTCACAAAATATTCACACTTCCTTTCAGGCAGGCTTGTCAAGGGGTTAGACTTTCCGTAATGTGGGTAAGGGAGAGTCTTATCAGTCAGTCTAGTTTCTGTCCCTTGTCTGTTTCTCCAGGTTCGGAAGGCCATGGCCATGCCATAGGAAGAGGATACTGATGCTTGTCACAGTTGGTTTTTAAGCCATTTGAGGAAATGATTTAGCTAAAGTATAAAGTCAAATGTCAAGCTAAAAAAAAGTCGTCTCAAGAAGAGTGTGTGAATCACCAAAAAAAGGAACTCAGATGTAAGGCAGAGCTGATAAAGGGGAGTCTGCTTTGTAGATTTGCTGTACAAAAGAAGGCACTCCTCCATAGGGATAGCAGTGGGGAGGTTTCCTACGGACAAAGGAGCTCTGGGAATGGAGTTGGAAGCAATAAAGGACAACAGAGGCAAGGGCTGCCAAGTCTCTGCTGGGAATGGGCTGGTCTCTAGTGGCTAGATCAGAATTTCCTAGCTTACAAACATTTACACGAGTCTTCATCTAAATGTGCAGTGCTGCCTTTCTTTTCTACATGGTACCTGCAATCTCTGGTTGTGAGTTCCCACATCTGCAATGCAAATGTTTTGGCCTAGACCTATGTAAAGCCAAGATGACAGCCTGCAAACTGAGGTAGTTGTGATTTAGGAAGTGATGTAGGAAAAGAAGGAAAGGTTCTGGCTTAAGGCTTAAAGCCCTGAAGTCTTTACAATGGTAAGAATAAAGGAAGGAGCCTGGAGGAGAGGCTGTTGCTGAAGCTAACCTTGAGGTTTGCTCCATGCTGGAGTACTCAAAGGCTTTAACTTTGAGTTGGATGGGATCTTTGTATAGTGGTTAATGTTTTCCCCCACTGTAAGCCAACAGGAAGCCTCTAACTTGAGCTTACGTGTCAAATATCAGCTAGAACCTGAACAGGTGGGGGTCAGGAGACACACTGATGGTATCAGTTAGCTTAGAGAGAAAATCACAGCTTCTGTATATGGCACCTGAGATTTACCCACAAAAACTGTTCTTATTCAAAGACTCAAAAGTTGTAAGGGCCCATGAAGTTATCGCACCCAACTTCTCCTCCAGGGAAATGTTCCCAGATAGCACGGAGGCCGACTCACCATCAAGCTTCACACTCCATGTCATGTGGAAGCCATTGGTCATCAGGTAAAAGTTCTTCATATCCTCAGGCATCACACAGTTGTTTTTCTAGAATTGCAAAGTAGCCGAGGGTTAGGTCAGGACTGGGTAAGAGCATACAGGGCTGTGTCTCTAAAAAGCGCTAGGGACACTACTATATTTCAGATTCCTGAATAAGAGAGATTGATAATTACCTACAAAACTGTACTAGAGTGTTACTGGGGTCTGTAAGCAGATTTACTGGTTTGACTTTTTTTTTTTTTTTTGCCTCACTAGAAAAAGCAGACTAGGTGTCTGCTCTGCTATGATGTACTCCAATGCTGGTGAAAGAAGGCGTTCAAAGAGAACAAGGTGAGGAGTCAGGAACATGAAGACAGAAGAGGTAAAGTCTGAGGTAAAGTCCGACAATGTTAGAGCACAGCAATTACTGCAATAAATTTCAGATCCATGCTCAGAAGCGAGTTACTGGATAACAGAGACCATCTTAAAAGCAAACAATATATATTTCTATATATTTTTAATGCAATGACGTACCTCTGACAGTTCTTACAGAGTAAAAAAGTACAACTGGACATATACAAATGTTTCTAATAACAGGAAATCATCTTAAACTGGTGATACAGAGAACAAGGAATAGGAGCAAGACCTAAATTCTAATTCATACCTGCACACAGACCTGACCAGTTGTTTCTAGCCAACTCAAATCCCTGAGTGCACAAAGGATGAGTTCTCCAGTTCCTTTCCTGAGCCACCTATAGTGAGTTCTAGATATAGTTAGAGAGGCAACAACGCAACATATTAGTGACTGTCTAAACTTTTAGCTTATTGGACCCTTCTAAGATGTGATACTGACCACTGTGTGTGTTAAGTGTAATTTAGGTCATACTGTTAAATCAGTCCCAGGTGCCCAATGTCTGGAGAAGTATTATGTAAAAGGGAAATCTGAATTCACTTTCCAACTCTGCCACAAGCTAAGTGACTTTCACCATGTCACTTACCACTGAATCTAAAAATCACTGGAGGTGAAAGGGGTGCAATCTCGACAGGAAGAGAGACTAGGAAAGTATTATGACTTGAAGTCAAAGCATCTTCAAGAACTATATGTAAGAAAGATTTAAGCTTGCATGTGATTTTTTTGTGGGGTGGGGGAGGAGGCAGTACTGGGGGTTGAACTCATGGCATCGTGCTTGCCAGGCAGGTACTCTACCTCTGGAGCCATGCCACCAGCTATTTTTTACTTTGGTTATTTTTGAGATAGGGTCTTGCTTGATGCCTGGCTATACTGGACCTTGATCCTATTTATGTTTCCCAGCATAACTGAGGTGACAGGCACATTCCACCATGCCCAGCCACTGGTTGGGATGTGGTTTTGTGAACTTTTTGCAAGGGCTGGCCTCAAACCACTATCTGCCTCCCAAGAAGCTAAAATTATAGGCACGAACCACCCATACCTGGTTCAGCTTGCAAGTGATTTTAAGCAGTGCTTCTATATTATTAAATGACAACAGCTGTCATATTAGTGAATCAAGTTTTTAATGTTCTTCAAGAACTAAAATGTATGTTCTGATCAGTTTGTTTTTTCTCTTGTTACCATCTAATTCCATATCTCATAGATGTGAAACTCAGATTCATGTGTCAATTTATTTCTTACTTAAGAAGTAATCTGGAGTTTAGGGTTTGCTCCTAGTGCCTCCTGTATGGCTACAGAATGCCTTTCTTTAACTCCTGGGACCCTTGCAAAGGACGCCTACAGTTAACAGTGTTCTGACAATATTCCTGCTCCTTCTGTAGCGCCAAAAGACCAGCACCCGCTGGAAGATTTCAATCACTAGTGCCATCTAGTGGTGGAGACCAGGAAACTGCAGTCTTCCAGTTATTCATAATGAGAATTCCATGAGGTAGCAGAGAAGGGCTGGTAGACTACTTGGTATTGTTCATTTTTAAGTTAGGGTGGCGAATTCTAGTAATAATAATTACATATTTGTTATGGTATTTATTTCACCCAAGAAATAAACTGTGGCATTTTATGGCATTATTTCAAAAAAAATTACTCACAATTCATAAAAATAGGAAAAGAAGTCAGTGAAATCAAATAATAAATTTTAAGTACCAACATAAACATATAAATTATCAAATAAACCTAATTCATGAAAAACATTAAGAATATACTGCCCTTCTAATATAAATGAATGGTGGGTTCTGGCCCTACTGCTGCTTCACTGCAGGCCTTTTGGCCTTAGACACCCAAGTCGTGTAGAGAGTGCTTCAGTCCCTTCCTACCACATTTACCTTCTCTGAGTAGTGCTTTCAGGGTACAATTTCTGGGTGACTACTCTGCCCTGGCCAGCAACTCAGTTACTACCATTTCTCTTTTGGCCAATCTGGAAAGAGTTTGCTGTTCCTTAGGGAGGAGTCTACCATCTTCAGAGGGCAGATTCCTCTCTTCTTTTTTTTTTTTGGCAGGGTGGGAAGTACAAGAGGGTGAGGGGGAAAGAAGAGTGTCAGAATGTGAATGGAAGAGGAACATGTCAGGATTAGAGTAAGGATCTCAGGAGAAAGTTAAGAAGGGAGGAAAATAACTCTGTTGACCAGTGTCTGAAATTTTGTTGACTAGGGTATGAATCAGTGCCTGGGAACAAAGATGAAGTGCTTAAGACCCAAAGCAGCATACTCTGTCTAAAATCTGTTCTCCACAGTTATCAGTCTCTCCCCCCTGCACTAGTGCTAGTGCAATGGGGACGTGGCAGAGGTGCTACAGAGCACAGGGATACAAGATGGCCTTATAAGGATGTAACTACACAACATCTACCATTCTACCTCTTTAGATCAACCCTAAATCAAAAATATATTTAAAATATATGAATTTTGCCCTATCTGGGGCAATACATGTGTTAATGAAGCTATGTATCTAATGGTGCTCAGCCAAAACAATTTGAGATATGTCTACAGACTTATCTAATCATCAAGATTTGCCATCTTGCTTAGCAAGGAAGCCTTTGCATTTGCAGACTCCTTACTTCAGAGCTCCTGGGTGCTATGGTAGCCTCAATCTCAGGACCAAAGAATTACTTGTAGAAAGGCAACCAGATGACCTTGGGACAGTTCTACATCTTTCAGACTTTCATGCTTTATCAAAACCATTTATTCACCCAACACTAATTAAGTGTCTGTTATGAAATTAATACTGTGGTAGGTTCTACAAACAGAAAGAGGTAAGAGCAGGGTCTGGAGGAGGCTATGTCAGACACATGGGTTGCTTACACATATCCACTTTCCTCTTCCTCCTTGACAGAACTTTCATTTTGCTTGAGATGGTAATGTGTCCTATTAAATAGTTGCTTTTAGACCTCATATAAAATTAATGATATAAATGCAAGTCCAAAGAGAAGGTTTTCAAGAAAACTTCCATTCTCCTGTTAAAAGGTGACAATAGTGGGGATGTGGTAGAGATGCTGCAGAGCACAGGGATACAAGATGGCTTTATAAAGAAAGGAACTTAGGGCTGGTGGAGTGGCCCAACTGGTAGAGTGTCTGCCTAGCAAGCATGAGGCCCTGAGGTCAAACCCCAGTACCACCAAAGAAAAGGAACTAAGCATGCAATGTCTATCATTCTCTGTCTCTCTAGATTAATTCTAATTTGCTTAGGGAAAGGGTAATAAGCAGGAGGCTTCTGGCAATCCCCATTCATGCCACAAATGCCTAAAAAATTTGCTGCTGGAGAAGCCTGTGGCCTCTGAAGCCCTAAGCCCTGTTTAGGGAGTGCCAGGTTACCATACTGCTACATTGCTCCAGAGAAAGAACCTAGCACAAGTTGTGCCCTCCCCCACCTAGGCTCCTGCTACAAAGCAACATCTTGGGACCTTTCACACCTGGTCCTATGAAACAACTGTCCACAGTTCAGCTGACCTTACTCTGCAAACAAGCCCCACTGCCCTTTCCATTCCCAATCACCATCAGCCCCAGAAAATACTTGGGAAGACCACCCTAAGTAGCTCAGTTTACAGAGAGGCCCTGGGAAGCACACAGACAGCAAAAGGGCCAGAAGTCAGGGTAGGGGAGAGCAGCTGTGAGTCTTTCCTGAGTGGTTTGGCTCATGGTGCTCCCTGGGGAGCTGCCAGGAAGCACTACATGTCCTTCTGTAGCCCCAAGAAGCAGTTAATCACCTTCAGAAGCTTGGCCCATGGAGGCCCTGAGAAATAGAGGGGTGGCCCTGCCTACTCACCCTTTGTCCTGGGAAGTCTGCCCAGAGCAAGTTGGACCTCAGGGATCTCAAAGCTACCTCCACAGCCCTTAGACTGAATGTATAGATTCTTGGTCTAGGCCAACTGGATGCCCTGGCCCCTATGAAGTCTTTATCCACTAACTAGCACCCTACATCATTTTTGGGCATGCTGCGCTGTACAACCTGGGCTTACTTGAATGGTCTCACTTCATATAACCTGTGGAAACTGACACAAATGTCCCAAACCTGCAGCTGGGTGAAAAGTACCCAGAGCTACCAGTGAACCTACCTCATAGGTTCCCACAGGTCCACAGACAGCTGCATCCCAGCTGGTGGTGGGATCCCACAACTCCTGTAGCTGAGGCCACTGAATCACCTGCAGGCAAACATCACTAACTTTGATCAATACTGAAGGAGTTACAGGGACATTACACTAAAGTGCCCACCTGGAACCAAAGTCAATGTGCATATTCAATCAACACCCTAGGACAACTCACCCAAAGAGTCTTTAATGACACAAGTCACCCTATAAAATTGGTAGAAGCAACTGACTCACCAGGTGCAGAAAAACCAACAGAGGGAAATAAGAAGCACACACAAAAAAGGTAACATGACACCTCCAAAGGAACATATTAACTATCTAGCACAGATCCCAAAGGAAAGGAAGTCAGTGAACTATACAGGAATTCAAAAGGATGATTTTTAAGGAAATTTAATGAGAAACAAAATAATACAGGCAGAAAACTGAACAAAGTTAGGAAGGCAACTCATGATATGAATAAAAAATTTGGCAGAGATAGAGACCACAAGAAAGAATGAAACAAAATTTTGGAGCTAAAGAACTCAGTAAATGAAATTAAAAAAAAAAAACAGTGGAATGGGGCATAGTAACTCATGCCTGTAATCCCAGCTACTCAGGAAGCAGAGACCAGGATTGCAATTCATGGCCAACATGGGCAAAAAGTTAGTGAGATCCTAGCTCATCCAGTAAATTGGGCATGATGTCATGCGCCTGTTTTTCCAGACACTTGGGAGGCGTAAATAGGAGGACAGTGGTCCAGGCCAGCCTGGGAAAAACACAAGACACTATTAAAAAAATAACCAAACAAAAAGGATGAGAGGTATGGTTCAAGTGATAGAGCATCTAACTAGCAAATGCAAGGCCTTTGGTTCAAACCCCAGTACTGCTAAATAAATAAATAAAATAAAGAAAGCTTGTAAGACTTATGGGATAGCATTAAAAGAGCAAACTTACATTATGGGAGTTCCTGAAGGAGAAGAGAAGGAAAAAGGCACAGAAAAATCTACTGAATGAAATACATGCTGAAACTTTCTAAATCTTGGAAGAGATACTGATAGCTAGGTCCAGGAAGCTCAAAGAACCCGTAATAGATTGTACCATACAAACAAAAAACAAAACCAGCCTCTCAAGGTACATTATATTCAACCTAAAAGACAAAAGAATTTAAGAAAAATAGCAAGATCAAAGTTACATATAAAGGAAGCTCCATTAGATTAATAGACATCTTCACAGAAATTTTACAGGTGAGGAAAGAATCGATGATATATTCAAAGTTCTGAAAGAAAGTACAGCACTTGACTAGCAAGTGTGAGGTTCTGAGTTTAATCCCAGTACCACAAAAAACAATTTTTTTTTCTGAAAGTAAAAAAATTGCCAACCATAAATGCTATATTCAACAAAGCTATTCTTCAGAAATTAAGGAGAAACAATCTTCCAAGACAAGCAAAAAAAGAAGGAATTCATCACCACAAGACTAGCCCTACAAGAAATGCTTAAGGAACACCTACACTTCAAGTGAAAGAATGAGAAACAACATGAAAACACAGGAAACTACAAAAATACAATCGTAGAGCAGATATACCAAAGAGAAAGAGAATCAAATCCTGTCAATACAGAAAGCCACCAAACCACAAAGATGAGCAACAAGAGGACTAAAGGAACAAAGGATCTACAAAGACCAGGAAAAAAAGTCAACAAGATGTCTTTACTCATTAATAACTTCAAATGTAAATGGATTAAATTCCCCAATTAAAAGACACAGACTGGCTGAATGGATTAAAAATAAAAACCAAGACCTAATGATATGATGATGCCTATTAGAAACTCACTTCACCAGAAGACACACCAGTATGAAAGTGAAAGTATAGAAAAAGACATATATGAACTAAGGTTTGGATCTTAAATGTCCCTCAAAGGCCCATATGTTATAGTGTTAGTCCTTAGACTGGCACTTTTGGGAAGAGGTGGAAACTTTAAGAGTTGGGGACTAGTGGGACATCTTAGGTCAATGAAGGGGATATTGAAACCCCTGCCCTTTCTCTTAATCTCTCTGTTTCCTGGCTGCCATAACACCAGCAGCTTCCTCTGCTACACAATCCAGCTGTGATATACCACCTTGCCACAGGCCCAAAGCGAAGAGTCAGTAGACTGTGGATTAAACCCCTCTCCCAAACTGAGTCAAAATAAACCTTTCCTCTTTTTAGTTTTTGGCAGCACTGGTGTTTAAACTCAGGGCCTAACGCTTGCTAGACAGGCGCTTTTACAACTTGAGCCACTCCGCCGGCCCAACCGTTCCTCTTTTTAAATTGGTTTATCTCAGGTATTTGTTACAGTAATGGAAAGGTGACTACCACATCATACAACAGAAAACCAAAAGTAAACAGGAGTGGTATCTTTATATCAGATATAATAGACTTTAACTCAAAAACTGTAAAAAGAGACAAAGAAAGTCACTGTATAATGATAAAGGGGTCCACTCAACAAGAAGACATAACAATTATAAACATATTTGCATCCAATACTGGAGGGTACCCAAATTATTTAAAGCAAATATTTAATCTACAAAGAGGAACAGACTCTAAAATAACAGTAGTTGGGGAATTCAACACTCTAATTTCATCAATGGACAGATAATCCACACAAGAAGTCAATAAAGAAACATCAGAGTTCAACTGTACTTCAGATTGAATGGTCATTTATATATAATTCAGATTGAATGGTCATTTATATATAATTTAGATTGGTCATTTACAGACTACTTCAACCAACAGGTGCAGAATATGCAGTCTTCTCATTAATACATGGAACATTCTATAAGACAGACCATATATTAGACCACAAACAATTCTCAACAAATTCAAAGAAGATGAAATCATTGCATATATCTTTTTTGAACACAATGGAATAAAACTAGAAGTCAGTAAGAGGAATTTTATTTATTTATTTATTTATTTAAATTTCCTTTATTCATATGTGCATACAATGATTGGGTCATTACTCCACCCTTCCCCCACTCCCCTAAGAGGAACTTTAGATATTATACGAATACATGAAAGTTGAACAACATTCACTTGAATGAACGATGTGTCTATTAAGAAATCAAAAGGGAAATTAAAAAATTTCTTGAAGTGAGAAAAACCATAATGAAACCTATAGGATACAGCAAAAGCAGTACTAAGAGGAAAATTTATAAGTGCCTACGTTAAAAAAGAAACAAAACCAGAAAGATTTCAAATATGCAACTTAACAATTCAACTCAAGGAAGTAGAAAAGCAAGAATAAACTGAACTTCAAATTGCCAGAAGAAAAGAAATGAACTATAAAATAGGTCCTGTGAGTGAGTGGGTATTTTTTGGGGGGGTGAGGTAAATGGTTGGTATTTTGTATACATATATGAAATAGAACAATGAAATCTTTTGCAATTGTTTTAAGTAGGGGGCGAAGGGATAAGGTAGAGATGGTGGAGGTGAACCTAACCAATGTATATTCTAAGCATATTCAGAAATGTCCCAATAAAACCCTCCAATACAATGAATAAAAATACTTTGGAAAAACAAGAAAAAAATAGTTAACATGTTTATGTTATTGCTGCAATAAACATGGGTGTGCAGGTAAGAAAAAAAGAAGATCAAAGTAGAAATAAAGATTTAAAAACACCAAAGATCAATGAAAAAAAGTTGTTTTTTGAAAATAAAATGACAAAACTTTAACCAAGAAAATAAGACTAAAATAAGTAAAATCAGAGGTTAAAAAAATATATTAAGGCGAGTGTCATGGTAATTACAGGCATGCCTATAATTCTAGCACTCCAAGAGAGTGTGAGGCCTACAGCTGATAGCATAGAAATACAAGGATCATAAGGGACTGCTATGCACAACTATATGCCAACAAATTAGAAAGCTTACAGGAGATTTATGACCAATCAAAACAGAACCATGAGGACAAAGAAAACCTGAACAGACCAATAACAAGTAATGAGACTGAATCAGCAATAAAGTCTTCCAACCAAGAAAAGCCCAGGACCAGATAGCATCACTGCAGAATTTTACCTAACACTGACAGATGAACCAACAACAATTCTCAAACTATTCCAAACTATCAAAGGGAGGAAACTTTTCCAAACTCATTTTATAAGACTTGTATAACCCTGATATTAAAACCAGACAAGCTGAAGGCATGACTCAAGTGGTAGAGTGCCTCCCAAGCAAGCGTGAAGCCCCAAGTTCAAACCCCAGTACTGCCAAAAAGAAAGAAAAAAGCCAGATACAACAGAAAACTACAGATAAATATCTATGATGAACAAATATGCAAAAATTATCAACAAAATACTACAGAATCAAAAAGATTATGATCAAGTACTATTTATCCCAGGGGTATAAAGATGTTTCAATATATGCAAATCAATGAACATATCACATCAACAGGACAAAAGCAATTAAGATTATTTCGACAGATACAGAAAAAGCAGTAATTAAATTCGACATTCCTTCATGATAAAAACCCTCAAAAAATTAGGTAGAGAAAGAATGTACTTCAATACAATAAAGGCTGTACATGACAAATCCAGAGCATACTTCAAACTGAGTGGAGAAAAGGTTAAATTGTTTCCTCTAAGATCAGAGCAAGACAAGGATGCCCACTGTCACCACTCTTATTCAGTAGACTACTTTAAGTCTTAGCCAGAGCCAACAAGGTGAAAGAAGGAGATAATGGCATCCAAATAGGAAAAGAAGTGGTTAAATTACTTCTGTCTACAGATGACATGATTTCATATATAGATAAGCGTACTGACGGCACCCAAAAAAACCAAGGTTAGAATTGATATATGAGTTCAATAAAGTTGCAGTATACAAATTTAACATACAAAAATCAGCTTCTTTATTCACAAATAATAAAATTGCTGAGAAAGAAATCAAGAAAGCATTCCCAATCACAACTGCTACAAAAATACTTAAGAATACATTTTATGCCAAATCTAGATCTTAAAAAAAGAAAAAAGGAGGACATGAACATAAATGGGGATTATATGGGAAGGAACCAGTGGGAGGCAGGAGAGGGGAAAAAAAGTGCCCAGA